TTGGAGCCTCGGCAAGGCTCGGCATACCGCTCGGCCGAGGCTCGGACTTGATAACAAGGCCAAGTAATGGTGTTTCAATGGGGGCACGATGTTAGGAAGTACTGGTGGTTTAAGCCCGACCAATTCAATTCCCTATGGAATCTGAACAAAACGGCCTTTCAGGCCAGGGGTCAGCCGGTAGCATCAGGACCGAGCTTCTTCATTGGGCCAGTCGCTGTGCCTCCCCTTCGGTCTCCTTCCCCTAGGAACATCAGCAGTCCCTGCTCAATGCCACTGAGGGGGACCAACGATCTATCTTTAGGTGGCAGGTGCCAACGATCTATCTATAGGTGGCAGGTGCCAAGCTTGCCTAGGAAGGTACATGAGGCTGATGGAGATTGAACACAAGGCCTCCTGAATGCCACTTGATGGCCTTACCAACTCAGTTGGGCTGCTGGATTTTGGATAACTTCTTAATTCATTCGTGTCATTAAAAAAAATAAAAAAATATTTCAATTCATCATAAGGGAATATCGGGAAAAGAGAGACAGACGGGGGCCTTTCAACCCGTCGGCCAAGCAACTGCCGCATGCCACACTGCTGCCACGCTTTGCGTTCATCGCTGACACTGAGTTCTTGCCCACATCCCATTACGGTGCTTACAAGCGAACCTTCCGCCGGGCGACTAATCGTAGCATCGCAGAGTGGACGATGGTGACTTGGCAGGACGGATATGGTTTTTTTAGGTGTGCGGTCTTTACGGTGGTGTGTTGACGTCCATTCTACGGTCGTTCGCCTTGCTGGCAAAGGTTTGTAGGAAAGTTTTCGCAAAGCTTGCCCTTTCTCAATCCTTGAGTGAATTGTTGACAGTCGTGCATTCACGGGGCGAGCTTCACTGGAAGCACCTAACTTATAACTCATACCTCATAACTTATCACTCATCACTTCCATCCTTTCCATTCTCAGCCACTTACAAGTGGAGGATACTCTGAAGACTTGAGGAGCCGCCTTCCTTGGAGCTTTCGCTCTGGTGTGGGTTCCTCTCTCACCATCTGGACGACTCAATGAAGTTGTACAGCATCGGGAGTTGGACCCGCTTTAGGTATTGGAGGAATTTACAGGGTGCTTGTCACATCAACTCTGATTCTTGGAATCAGGAGGAAAATATATGCTCGCTCTTCCCTCAAGATATGCCTGAACCTATCGTGGTTGTCCTTAAATAATGAGGGGGGGTGTAATACATATCGATCCGGAACCCTGAGGTTGATTTCTAGGTCGATACCGGGATAGGTTGTCACCGGATTGCATATGGTTCTGTTCCTTTTGCGAAGAAAAAAGCTCGAATGAATTGCTTAGTCTCCTCCTGGCGGTTAATCTATGTTGGAAGTGTCATTAAGTTGGATAGGTGTAGCCTCAGAGATTGATACCCCTTTTCCATGGGTTTGGCCTTGACATAGGGTTAACCAAATCCTTCTAGGGTGTCTCATGATCGACTTGGTTTGGCGGCAGGAGGTCATCGGGACCAAAAGGAAAGGAAGATCGCGGTTTGTTGTGGCTGTTTTCCTCGCATATCGTAACCGATTTCTAAAGTGCCTGTTCGATCTTCGCTTAGCCTTTCGGAACTATTACTCTTACAGTAACTGTTGTTTCTTGCTGACTTTTTTTTTTTTTTTTTTTTTAATAAGAAAACAACCCGAGTAAATGCTAGGGGTTTGAGGACAGAGTGGAGTGCTACTTGGGAATTATCGATACATTCTCCACCCTGTATCACATGTTTGTGGAGATTCGGCAGTATTGAAGGTTGAAATTGCAATGGCGGAGAATAACGTTGCCCCTAATCAAACGGAAGTAGACAACAATAGAACAGTGAAAGTTATTGAAGAATGCTTCAGGAAAGGAGTGTTGTCGTCCGGTTTAATCCTGGACGATCAGAGCCGAGTGGAGCGATGTGAAGATTGTGTTCCTTTCAAAGTTGACCGGGCAATATTTAAAGCTCACAAGGAATGATTATCAAGGCACACTGTCACTATCTTCTTCAGAGAGAAGAACGACTCCTTACCAGCGAAGAAAAAAAAAAAGTGGTTAGGTTGTACGAAAACAAGTGGATTGGGATGTGGATATTGGGTCCTGAGCCCAGGAGACGTCTATCTCATAACCTGGGCCGCAATTTGTTGACTTACCAAGTACAAATGCAGTGGCGGCTTGACTCCATCAAAAACAAATGGACGACATCGTTTTAGATGGCATCAAGTACACCCTCTACTTCAGATCTTGGATGTCTGAAGCAGAACTGCAATAATGGAGAGAGATTACACGCTATGAGTTCTATTGGATTCAAGTCTTATAGATCCCGATTGGAGCGATGCCTCTGGTTTATGATGCCGTGAAACTAGCTTAGGGTCACATCCTTAGAATTGGTCCAACCTCATCAAGATCAGAGGAACCGGAGTTGTTTATAATTTGGTTCGATCTCGAACCTTCGGCTCAGGATAAATTTACTCCTTGTATTGGGATTGACTTACCTGATGATGGCGGCTCTATTGATTTAAAGTGGTCAATCAGGATACTTACTGGTGTAATGTTTACCGTTGGTACTACCACACCAAAGACAATTTGGATTGCCCCACAAAGAAAAGGAGAGCCAATCAGTCTCAATCGAAATATGGAGCCAACGTGGCTTCTGCCCCCTTACCCCCAGGTGGTGGGTGTGAACCTACCAGGAAGGGGGGGGGGAGGGGAGGGTTCTCCTTGCAGGACCCCCCCCTTCCGGACAACCCCAGGTAACGCGACCACCACCAACCGCTGTGGTAGTACAACACGAGGGGTCTGGCCAGCAAACCACCGTGGTCCGTGTTCTGGGGTCTGGATCACCCACAAACACAAGGAACGCCTCCCGTGTGTCACCTGGTCCTTCCCCTGGATGGAGGGTCCCCACTCACCAGTCTGTTTCGGCTCGACCTGAATCAGCCTCCTTCCCAGCCCCTTCGGCGGCTGAATGGCCCTCCAACATAGCTGGACCAACCGGAGACATCGCAACCACGCCCTCCAATCCCTTGGGCGGGAGGTCGTCTCTATCCATTCAGGTCTTCACTTACAATCATGTCACTCCAACGCACTTCCCCCTGATGCAGTCTCGATCCTCGTGGATCAATAATCTTGTCGTAACCCTACTTGTAAGTTGTAATAAACCAGAACATCACCTATTCGGCCATGGACACGTTGGCACCAGGAAAGACCTCATCAAACATGCTACTGATTACAAACAGATCGGGCGTTGACCTTGCTTCCTCCGAAGAGGCGGCAAGAATATCCACGACTCCAGAGGTGGACCCCCTATTATTGGTACCTCTTGAACCGTCCGCGGATCTCTAATTTTTCAGAATGCTCAGCACCTAAATGTCTTCCTACTTCTCCAAGACCACGCACTACAAGAGAAGTTGTAAAATTCCCTCCTGAAGTATAATGTAGCATTCCTGCATTATTAGCAATTTGATTAAAAGCTAACAAAAGAAATCCATTCAGGCAGGACCAGTGGGACGCCAAACAAGAAGTTACAAACAGATTCCGAGCCCTTTGCCAGATCCACAAAGTCTCCCGGGTTGGTTAAGACGGCCCGGGAGATGGTCCAAGACACCGACCATAACTCTTCGACCCGTAGAGCAATAGGTAAAGGGAAAGGTACATCAATACGCTCTCTTTCTTCAGCACTGCCAATTGCAACCATCTCATGCGCAGAGAGAGGGAAGACTGAAGATTACCCCATCCCCCTCGTCTGAAAAAAATATATGTTATGTAAAATAATAATACAAACAACTTTTGCCTTGGAGGTTTGGTCGAATTCGTAACCAAATTTGAGTTAAAAATCAAAAACAAAAAAAGAGTTTTTTTTTTTTTTTTTTTTTTGGAATATGTTCGGTCGAACACGTTCGGGTGGCGTTCACCCGAACACCCGAACATGTTCGGACGTTCGGAAAAGCTCCGAACATGTTCGGTGTGCTACACAACCCGATTCCTTCCACACCTGCAACCCCAAGCAAACCCAACTCACACTCTGTTCCTTTTCAACCAAATTCTAATCCAAACCCCCACAAATGAACACAACATAATCTTTACTAAACCTAGGTTACCTATACTAACCACTGCATTTTTATCTAACCCCAAAGCGAGAACACAATTTTTTTTTGTTGTTTTCTCTCTCCCTTCCTCTTGATCATCCAACCTAGCAATTCACTCACCCTTCATGTATGTTTTGGTCACCACCTTTTTTTCTTTTGATCAATTGGATAAACCAAATATTAGTACACTGACTCCTTGCACGCATGTTACGTTGTGCAGGACCAGGACAACATCCTTATGGGTTGGCACCCAGAATTGGTCTCTGCCATTAGACCGTTCTCTGCTCTTATGCCACCCATTGTACACTGCCAGATAGCCATGCTGGCTATCCCTGCAGATGTCCATCTGCACATTCACGAGGCCACTAACGGACAAGCCCCCTTCCTCATAGAGAACTTGTCATTCAGTGACTGGGCCTCTATGGTCGCAGTAATGTAAACCGGACCCCACGAACTTGCTGACAAGATCAAGGAGCTTCCCTCCAACATCGCATATGTCTGCAAGAAGTCTGCCATTGAGAACAGGGAGTTGAACCTCATTGTCGCCAAGGCAGAGAAAGTTATCATCGAAATCCATGGTTATGACATTGCGCATCTCGACAACGCAGGACAGACTGCGCATCTCGACAGCGCAGGACAGATTTCTACTAGTGAGAGAACAAAAACCTTTTATGATTCATATATTAGTAGCATCGCACTAACACCTGTGGAACTCGAATACTTCAAAAGGAAGGAGGCCTTGAGAAGGGACAACGCCCACTTCGACATCTCTGCCATAGCTAGAGGTACCACCCACAAGTTCGGCAAGAACAACCCCTTCTTACCCCTTGCATCCACCACGTGGACGAAAAAGGTTGTTCAACTCGTACATAACAGACTATGGAAGCTAGACACGTTCAACTACACTGCACCGATCAGCGTTGACGCTTACATGGCGCTGACAGGACTTAGCAGTGCTGACATAGAGAACTGCCGGACGGCGGCCAGGAATGGTACTATCCACTTCCCTACAGGAAAAGTTGGCTTTGATGCAGACTTCCCGCCATTGTCCAAATTGGAGAAAGGGAAATGTCCCAAGAAGCCACTGCTGCACCAGAAGGGTATTCCCAGGTTCCCGACAGACCTGCTGGAGCTCAAGAAGTTGTGGAATGTCGGGAGACTATTCCTCAAATGTGCATGCACAGGTTGCGAAGTTAACTTCACATGGTTAGACCACATGCTCTGGTACGTCATTGACAACCTTGACAAGCTGGACCCGCAGGCTCCCTCCGACAAGATCAAAATGGTCGATTTCCAAGCCCTGCTTCGCACATCCTGGAGAAAGCCAATCCTGGCGCAGGTCACGTTCCTCTTCATGAGGGAGTATATGATGAAGATTGTGCACCTCAGCACGCAAACATTACTGTAGCGCTCCTCCCCAATGCAGAAGGTCTGCTTACGCAAACAGGTACCGGAAGATGCAGCACCATTGACTACGAGGACAACTCGCTCCGCAGGTGCCGCCAAATGAGACAGGGTACTCCTGCCACTAGCTCACCTGTTGAACGCACACCCTCACAATTCCAATCACCCACACCCAACACCGCTGCTGCAAACACACCAATACATATGTCCACCACACCTACCCCCTGCTCCAGACCACACACTGCTCCTACTAACACAGCACCTGATACGCCACGCCAACCAACACCTGTCGATCGACAACCAGCCACAACGAACACTGCATTGCAGGACGGCATGCACAGTACAAACATGCAACACGCAGTACGCGTCATGCAAAATAACAATAACACACAGCAGACCACCGCTGCTACGATACGCAACAACCAGCCCACAACACGACCAACCTTGCAAACCGGCACACAACCGTCCCCCACCCTCACCTCGCCGAACCGCTGGACACTCCCGACCCCTGCAAACTCCCACCTGCAAGTCAATGCCTTCACCCTTGCTGCTGCACAATATGCCGCCAGGAACACCACCCCCACCGCCCCCAGCGCAAACCATCCAAAACCCTTCTTCAACATACAGAGAACTGCCAGCACAGGCACTTCCAACATACCTAACCTGAACCCCACACACGCAACACACATACCCATCAGCAACGCCACCATACTAGCCCCAGCTGATACCCACCACACGCCAGAAGCAGACAGACTGGCAAGGCAAAGAGAGCAACTGTTGAGCATCGCAATGAACCCACTGCCCGCCCCACAAAGAAACAATGGTCGAAGAGGTAACAAGACAAGCAGAATGCAGCCATTGCAAAACGACAAACAAAAGTCAAAGCGCGCCAAACGCAACCAACCGCAGTACGATCTCCGCCAGCCAGACATGCACGACGTCCTCTCTGCCCAGGCACAACGACAAAGAAGCTCTGCAAATCACCAACCACCCCCGCAAACCTTGCTACCTACCACCTGACCCAGCAATCCTGCTACCGCCGCTATCGCACCATGCCAAGCAGCACAAGCACCGTGGTTCGTACACACATGGCTTCCACTTAGTGAACAACTACTCCACCACTGGCCGCATAGACTTGATGGCGGAAGGCTACCTGGACAGCAACCAGCGCAGGCAAACCCGGAGGTCATACAAGTCAACAGCAACGAGATCAACGAAGGTGAAAAACCGTAGTTGCCTATCACCATCAGTTCGCCATCTCCAGATACTCTGTTGCGACCAACTTCGGCTATCGAAGCACTCAGACACAGCTACGGTGCCAGCAACGCTGACTCCTCCCTACTGCGTGTCTGCAATGATCAGACAGCTCTCGAAACCGAATCACCAACATTTGAGGAATCGTGGAAGAGGGTCTGTCGCAGACCCAGCCCCGACTATCAATTCGGAGCCACAAGTATCACAAGGAGTTAGAACTATTCGGAATGCTCTCCTCCCACATCTATAGTAAAGTTCATAACATTTGTCGATACGCAATTCGGTACTCAACCCACCTCCTAATATCCACGATAAGCACTATAGAGGTAGTGATCTCCCAGTAACAATGATCGGCTTCTGCACCGCATAACTTAACATATACACTAAGACTCTCATCTGATTTTTTATTTATTTTTTACGATTTTTTGCTTTTTTTATATATACAATAAAAGCAAGTGCTATGACTTGGATAAGCAGACTAACCTGCCAATTAGAACTAGCTAAACACCTCTCCCCTTGAAAGCCAGACACCACACTTGATAGATTCCCCACTATATTATGAACTACTGCCAACTACTGGACAATTCGGCCTGCCACAACCTCCAACTTAGTTGGGTGATAACCCAGAGCTGGGTACCTATGACACAAAATAATTAATTGATAACTATGAACCTAAATATGGTTACCGCTCTTCGGATTAACTTTTTGTTTTCTTCCCTCAAAAAAACTTTTTAAAGAAGTTTTACCGTTTGTGACTCTCCTGCTATTTTTCGAAAAAAAAATCCAGAACTCCACATTACATTGCATGCCCAGCACCACAAAATGTCAATTTCTCACCTGCATCACTACCACTCCTGCACACTCCTAACCAAACTCGGCTCCCATGACTGCCTATACCCTGACTTCTTCTTCCCTGACCCTCACATTACCTTCTAAACCACACCCCTCTTTACTACTATCCGCCAACCTATCAACACCCCTATAAGAATACTCATGGGCCCAATTCCTACCATTTTTTCCCCCCTTTCCCTTCCCCCACGACCACTACCTTACACACCTACACTCAAAACCCAAAATTTGTTTACCAAGCATACTGCTACACCACTGCTTATTGACTGTTTTTCCCTATGTGCAGGGCCCTCGTCTACAGACTATGGAGGATGGAAGGCTTGGTTGGAAAACTCGCAGACAGGATAACAAAATCATAATACCCCGTCACTACCCAAATCGTTTTATGGACAGACTGAAATTCAAAAAAATCTTCGAAAGGATCCTAGGAAAACACAACCCCAATGCCGTACACCTCTTGGATAACTGTACATTCTCATGGACCTACAACGACCATATAACTAAAGCACTATATAAACCTGTTGCTGTCTTCCGAGACTTCGATCTCGACGATTGGCTAAACATGCTGCTAAGCAGGTGCTTCTGCCAACAACAACGATTTGCAAAATTTACTAATCACCTTTCTCCTAATACCCTGCCACAAGAAGAAAGAGCGCATGTCATCACACTAGACCTGAGCATGATTACTAACCCGGAACTCCAAACAATGATCCGCAACGGTCTAAACCACATTCCCCGAGTAACATCAAAGAAAAAAAACATCACTACAACAACCAACCAACTATGGGAGAATTTCTCAGTCACACTAGAAAAACATGGGATCCCTTTCTCTGACACCCATAAAAAAGAAGCGTTTGTAGAATTCACTGAAATCGTCAAACTTGCCACTGCTGATTGCCTACCACACAGAGAAATCAACCCACATTGCTACACCATCAAACACGAAACCGACTTCCTATCTAAACACTTTTCTATATCCGGGGCCGACAAAGCACCCAACACACCTGTCATCACATGCATAAACTTAATCAGATACCTAGCACTAAAGAGACTCTCCAGCCCAGATTTCAAACCCTGCGCTTTCTTTGTTAATGAACTGCTTGCCTACCTAGAAGAGCAACTTACCTCAACATTCCCAGACCTCCCGACCGGTAAAAAAACACTACCCTACCTCTTTGCAACATACAAGAAGCACAAAAACTCCTTCCGTTGGCTGACTAATGCATCAGATGTCATTTTCTCCCCTTTGGCCGACTTAGCCGCCGCCATACTCAAGGCGCTTATCAAGGTTGTTAAAACCCACTGTGGAGATCTCTCACAAAAGACTTTCTCGGAAATTGGTCTTAAGGTACCCTATTGGTGGCCCATCGACTCTACACCCGACTACGTCTACAACCTACCCCCGCACGTAACATCCGTTTTTTCAGCAGACATAACGAGATGTTATGAAACCATCCCCACCGACGACAGTCGGGATGGTCTACCAAGTGCAATCCAATTCTTCACAAAACTCGCCTTTCAACATGCCAAGAAGAAATATGGAACTGGCGTGCAATTTGCCTTCAAATTCTTCTACGTTGGCGACCAGCTAACCCCCACCTGTGACTGGTACAAAAACTCACCCAATGTCTACCTATCCCTAGATGACACTGTCGTTAATACAATCAATAGGTGGCTGATTACCAATGCATACACTTCCCTCGGAAACAAAACTTGGAAACAGACACTCGGCATCCCTATGGGCGTCAGCTGCTCACCAACATGGTGTAATATCTACTTCTTCAAATATGAGTATAAGTTTATGAAGAAAATTACTTATAAAAGCAACAGACATCTCCTACACCTATTCCAACATGTCTTTCGATACTTCAACGACTTTCGCATCCTTAACAACCCAAGAATAAATGATTTCCTCAACCCTGACATTACCAGTACAAGAAGTCGATACTTCCTACAACCCTTAAAAGTAATTACTCTGAACGAACAAAGTGTTGAGAAAGCACAGATTAATGACAGACTCATTGGAACCAAAACCAACTTCCTAAACACAACCATCCAAATTACTAACACACATACTGGACCATACAAAACATACAAATACGACAAAAGGAAAGAATTAAACTTCCCCATCACCAGATTCATTCAAGCATATTCTAATAGACCCATGCAACAAACACTTAACCTGATTATACCCCAATCATTCCTATCATGGTGGTCGAATCTGAACCACAGCACGCCGCAACCGAAATTAAACAAGCATTATGCAATCTCACATACAATGGCTTCTCTAAACACAGACCACTTGGAATCACCAAAAAAATACTCCAGCACCGTGAGAAATACCAACCATTTCACTGCTGCCCGATGGCCGTGTTACAAGCACCTCAAAGCACCCGCAACCAACTTAGAGTCTTGGAATAGTCAAACTATACTCTTAAAAATTAAAAGACATGTACATCGACGCATATGTATGGGTAAGCCAATAATCGACTGGGTTTGGATTGAGGACATAACCTGGTCATAGTAAGTCCTAAATCCCATATATAATTTTTTTTTTTTTAAAGGGAGAAAAACCTACCCCACCCGGACCCATATCGCAAGGGAACAGGGAGAGACACATACACACACACACACACACACACACATGCATGCACACACACACACACCCACCCACACACATATAACATTAAAAAATTCTTTATATTATAATATTTTTTCACATAAAAGAATTATGGCTAAGTCTATGTAACTAATTAAAAACCAGATCAATATAAACAAAAAAATAAAAACAAACAAATAAAAATACATTATAAATATGTATTTTTAAAATAAATAATTAATAAAAATAAAAATTAATAAAAAAGAAGGATTAAAAAAATAAATAATAAATAAGCAGCAGTCTGAAAAATCAAGTAACCCTTCTATGTAATAATAACAAAAATGATAAATAAATGTCTCCTCCACTTTTAAAGAACCAATTACATAAATTTAAAAGAACATAAAATTAAAATCAAAATTAAAAATACAACTCACCCATGCGCCAACCAACGATAGCAATAGTCGAACTATATTGCTAAAGAATAAAAAAGATGAACGTCGACAAAACACGTGTGTGTGAAAGTCAAAAACTGGCTTGGTTCGGATGGAGAACCTACCCCGGGTGGGGTAGGTCCTAAATCCTGTATGAAAATATTAAGACCTATTCCACTCGGACCTCCATCACGAGGGAACGGGGAGGGTCACACACGCACACACAGATACACACACACACACACACACACACACACACACACACACACATAAAACAAAAAAATAATAATAAAAAAATAAAAAAAATAAAGAAAATAAAGAAAAATTAATAAAAATTTAAATTTTAAAATTAAAAATTAAAAAAATAAAGAATTAAAAAATAAAAATAAAATAAAATAAGTAAATAAATAAATAAATATATAAAAAATAAATAATAAATAAAAAGTTAATAAAAATAAAAAGTAAAAAGTAAAAAGTAAAAATGAAATTAAAAATTAAAAAATAAAATACATAAAAAATAAAATAAAACAATAGGATTCATACATATATCTAAAAAAGTAAAAAAATATAATATAATAATAATTAAAATAAAATTTAATAATAGTTAATAAAAAATAAAAAACTTCAAAAAAATAAAATAAAAAAATCCTACCCCTTAAGCGCGGTGGGCCCGCGGGGAGAAGTCGTGTTCCGCTGCGCGCCGGAATCGGGCCGAACTTTTGATTCCGCCCGAAGGATGATGGCGATAGAGGGCAGGGGTGCGTGCAGAGCGGCGCGCGTACCGAATTGTTCACAACGCGCCAAAAAGCGAATGAGCGCGCCCATCGGGCCAGGAGGCGGCGGACGTTGATGCGAGGGGATATCTCGAAGCGCCCGCCGTCGGATAGTCGTCCCCCCTTTTTTATTTATTTCATTTCCAGTTCCCTTTTTTTTTTCTTTTCCCTTTTTCCGTCGTCGGTTGGTTCCCTTTTTATTTTCTTTCTTATTCGGTTGCAATCTTCTGTCGTGTTCCCCCCATTCCCATCGCATTCCTCTGATTTCACTTTCCCCGTCGTTTCTTTTTTTTCTTATTCGGTTGCAAGCTTCTGTCGTGTTCCCCCCATTCCGTCGCATTCCTCTGATTTC